ATGGTATAATTTGGAGAAATTATTCCTCTCTTGTTAGTTATCCTGTAGATGTCTGTTAAATACATTTGTTCTGTGCTGCATATTGGTTGTTGGTTTTGTGTGGTACATGTATATGTATGTAGAGACCAGAGGTCAATATCAAGCATCCTCCTCAATCACCGTCCACCTTGTATTTTGAGAAAGGGCCTCTTACTGAGCTTGGAACTCATCAGTTTAGCTAGGCTGGATGGCCACTGGGCCCCAGGGATCCTCCTGTCTCTGCATCTCCTGCACTGGGAGGACAGCATGTCCCACTGTGCTAGGCTTTTTACATGAGTTCTAGGGATCAGACTCAGGACCTCAGACTCACATCTCATCAACTCCTAAAACTTGTTTTGTAAATCTGCATGACCTACCAGAAAGTAAAGTGGGGTATTGAAGTCACCCACAAAACCTATCTGTCCCCTTTCACCTGTGTCTGTTTTAAGAAATGAGAGCCCCAGCATTGGTGCATATGTATTTAGGATGGTCATATCCTCTTGATAGATCGTTCTCTTTATTAGTATGCTGGGGTCTCTTTATGCCATCTGTCATGAAGTCTACTTTATCATGTAGCAGAATATTGATGCTGGTTTGATTTTGGCTTCCTTTTCCTTAAGTATATTGATTTCATCTTTCACACTTTATCCTCATGTGTCTTTGCCAATAAGGTGTGCTTCTTGGAGACAGTGAATAACAGAATCTTGAGGATTTTTTTTCTGTTTTGTTTTAAATAGAATCAGCTAGTGTTTGTCGTTTAGTTGGAGAGTTAAGGCTCCTTCAATGGAAAATTATTATTGAGAGATTGCAGATTCATATAATTTTATTGGTTTTGTTTTGTTTTTGTTTTTTTCTTTCTCCCCTATTCATATTATTTGCTGATTTTATGAGTTAGACAAAATTGGGTTACTTCCTAGTTCATATTTTTTTCATCTACTCCTCTCATGAGTTTATTCTTTCTTGGTTTTGTGTAATAGAAGCCTCTGTGTTTAGGATTCCTTTAAGTATTTTCTGCAATGCTAGCTTGATGATCATGACTTTCTTTAGTTGGTGCTTCTTTGGAATATCTTTCTCTGTTAATTTTAAAAGATAATTCTGTATAGTAGGCTTAGTTAATGACCCTTAACTTTAGGGTTTAAAATACTTTATTCTTTCCCAGTTTTTGGAATTTCTCTTGAGAGGTCTGATGTCATTGTGATGTGAGTTGTCATTTTTCTCTTACAGCTTCTAGTATTTTTTTTCTTGGTTTCATAGTTTTGGCATCTTGAATATAATGTGTCATGGGAAGCTCCCTGGTCCTGTCTATTGGAGTTTTAAATGCCTCATGTTTGGCTGTTCATTTCTTTCCCTTCCTTTTTCTTCTCTAATTCATTGAATAGTTGTTCTGTGCTTTCAGTTTTTATCTCTGCTCTTTCTTCTACTCTACGGATTCTTAGGTTTGTTCTTTAGTTATGTCACAGAGTTTTTTAAAAGTTGTGGTCATGCTCGTATTTTTCGATATTAATGTCTGACTATATTTCCTTGATCTTGTCCATATTGAAACCTCCCTGCTTGGTCAAATCTACTGGTGATACTTTTGACTCTGTTTTTCGTTTTAATTTGTTGAGTTTTTCATTTCCAGTGTTTCTGTCACCATTTATCTTCCTCCCCCAAAATTCAATTTCCTTGCCTTTTCTTGGATGTTGTATATTATCTTACATCCTGAGTTGCTTTCTTCAAATTATCTGCTTATTTCTGTCATCTTTGAAGTCACTGACCATTTTTACAAGTAAATTTTTGAATTCTTCATCTGGCATTTTACTCATTTCAGTGCCTCTGGATTTTGTGATTGGGGAATTATGACTCTTTGGAGCAGTCCTGGTGCCTTGTCTTTTCATGTTTCTTGTATTTCTGTGTTGCAATTTACACCTCTGCTTGTGGGTATCTCCTCCAGTTTTATTTAAAGATATTAGTAAACAGTCCTCACTTGAGAGCTCAGGTGCCAGTACCACTCAGAGAAGAGAAAACAAACCACTTTTGGGTGGATTTCCGCTCAGCCTGCTGCCAAGCCACATGGTGCCTCCTCCTTTCCAAGGCGTTACCTTTCTCTTTCTTTTCCATGGCAGTTTTTAGGTGTCCAGTCCTCCTCTTTGCAGTTTGTGTTCTGTCTGCCCCTCTGTCTCTGGGATTATTAACTCTTGGTTTTTCTGACTCTTTCATTTGCCACATAACAGAGAGAGAGCGGCTTCTGATCTGTCATTTTTGTTGTGAAGATTTTTCTAGGACTCAGTCTCAGAGACTGATGGGGGTTGCTCAGTCATAATGTGTGCATGAATTCAACTTTAGAACGCAATGCAGAGTTGTTCCCCAAGTGGCTGTGCCGGTTGACACAGTCCCCAGCCGTACAAAAGATGGTTCCTAGCAATACTCGCTGGTGTTCAGCTTCTTTTTAAAATATTCATCAATATGAGAAAGAGAAACTGAAACTTAGCTATAGAAATAAGTCTAATGCCACATTCTATCTTCCATTTTTCTGATTTCCAACTATAATAAGTTACATTTCTTAGAAATGGAAATATATAGACTTTCTATAGCAATGAGAAGTTATGACAGAGAGAATGAGAATTTAATGGTAATTTTATGGGAGCTTCCTCAGGGGATCTGAAAATGTGATTTTAGACTGACTAGGTCATGATCACCTAACTAGAGGGTGGGAGCCATAGTGTGGGGGGGAGTGCGAGCCGGAGGGAGGAAAGGAGTAAAGAGGTGGCGAGAGGAGAGAATGGTAGTGTGGAATTTGCTAAAAATCAGCTGATTCCTGGACCTAGTTGTAGGTCTACTAGTTAGGATGTGAAGAAATGGGATCCGGGGCTGTGTGGCATTTGTTTTGTATAAGTTCTGTTAGTTTTGTTTATTTTTTTTTTTAATGAACACTATTCAAAAGTTTTTGCTTAAGTAGTGTGACGGATTGTGTTTAAAACTTAGTATGTTGTGTTACCTATTGCTTCAGAGGTGCACAGTACCAAATACTTAAGCAGAAAAGTTTCTCTATATAACCTTTGCTCTAACAATAAAATAATGAAATTTATAGACTGTTAATCACTAAAAACTCTATAGCTTAAAAGGAGTGTCTTCGTAGAACTGAACTGTATTGCAAAATAAAAAAAAAAGAAATAAGTTAAAGAAAAAAAGGAGTGTCTTCAAACAAAGCTTTCAAAATTATGCAGTGTCTTAAGTTATGTTAATTTTATAGTTTATTATAAAATTAAATTGTTATATTAAGGATCAGTGTCATAATTTTGTGAAACAGAACAATCACTGAGAGTAATAAAGTGACAATTTGTATGTCATGCTTTTCAACCTGAGGCTTTACATTCTGTATTATACGTAGAAGTTGTTAGCTATTCTAAAGGTACAATAAGAGATTATTGTTCATATCAGTGTAATAAATTGATATTCCCGACTGTACTTTTTCATTTTGCACATTGTCAAAACCTTGGACCTTAATCTTATCCTTTGATTGACAGTAGCAACCAGGGAAAGAACACTTGTATTGTTAGGGATAGTCACATCTGTTCAACTTGATTCAGTTGAGGGTATTTGCATATTCCTAAGTATTTCTTCTGAGAGGGCTTAACTTCTTCTCAAGTGGTTGATGCATTTTTGAAATTCATTCATAAGGTATCTGCATGCACTAATAGTTCTGTGTAATATTGCTGTGCATAATCTGACAGATAAGACCACATTTTAAAATAGGTATTCTTTAGGGAGGTGACATTGTATTTTACCTATTTGTAAGGCAGAAATGTTAGGTTTTTTTTAAAAAAAAAAGTCTTGTAATGCTTTGATTCAAGTACAATAGTCTTACTTTAGGCAAATTTACCTCTTATAGGATGGATCAGGATTTATTGAATAGTAATAAAGGTGTTAATGATAAAATTTCCTGCCTTGGTTGGAAAATTGAGTAATTGAATTTGAGTAATTTAGTAACTCCTTATTTTATAGGGAATATTACCAAGGCTGAGGTTTCTTGACTTATTCAAGATCACGAGGCTTGGATGTTAAGCTTTAATGTTGCTTTCAATTCCAAGGTCAACTTCAAAAAATAGTGGACAGTATTGACCTCTGGTTTACATTATCACAAACTGTCTTGCATCTGAATTTCCTCTTGCCAGTAGAACACAATGAAAGATTATCTTATGTGTTATATATCTACAGAATTTGCATGATGCCCTTACACATGGTTAATGCCCAATCATTTACTGTCCTGTTCTCATTAGTCTCCTAAGCCCTACTGTATAAAAAGCAGTTATGAATCACAATGAATTGTTAATGGAATATTAAACACTTTTGATAGCAAACAGGCTTCTTGTTGTATGGTTCTGATGAATGGGCACTAGCTGTTTTAAAGAACTTTTTAGGTATGCTGTGATCAGTCAGCAGTGTTGCCCTGGGCGTGAGATCTGACAAAACAGTTTCTTTGCTGACTTATGTGATCTTAAGGAAAAGACTAGAATGATCTAAAATGTCTTAGAAAAAAATTATAGGTTTGACGGGAAAATACCATCACGTTACATTAATTTAATGGAGGAGGCAGTTAATGACTACTTTCTGGGCCAGCCTGTGACAGATGTTTTCCCACACTGCCCTGGAGCCTTTCTTACTTTCCTTGAGGCAGACTCTCAGAGAGTTGGGGCTAGCTGTGAACTAAAGATCCTCTTGCCTCTACCCACACTAGTGCTGAGGCTGCAGGTATGAGCCCCTGTGTGTGCTCTTTACTAGTTTTTATTCCGTGTTTTCCTCTAGTATGAGTATTTTCACCTGGGCCATCTCTTCCTGTTTTATTTATTTTTTATGTACTTTACTTAGTTATAAAAAGCTGTAATAAAAGCTCATCACAATTTTATTATTGTATCATAAGAATTCTTTAGTGAAGAAAGTTCTTAAATTTTTTATTGGCTATAAAATAATTCTCAACTACATAATTATTTTTTCTCTTCCAGGAATCCCCTTCTGGTCGGAGGAAAGCTCTTGCTACTAGCAACATTAATATGAAACAATATGCAAGCCCTATGCCAACTCAAACCGATGTCAAGTTAAAATTCAAGCCTTTATCTAAAAAAGTTGTGTCTGCCACTCTCCAGTTTTCATTATCTTGTATCTTCCTTCGGGAAGGAAAAGCAACGTGAGTTTCTATCATCAATAAGTGACTTCATTCATACTGTGTTTCTAAACACCACAGCGTTGGTCTTACTAGAAGGGCAGTAAGGTGAACTTCCCATCATATGTCATGCCAGTGAAGCCAGGCATGACCTCAAGGCAGGCATTGAAGCAGAAGCTGTGGAGGAGCAGAGCTTATTGGGCTGGCTCTTGCCCTTCTCAGCTTACTTTCTTATGCACCAGGCTCACCTGCCTAGGGGTAGCACCACCCACAGTGGGCTGGCCCCTTCCATATCAATCATCAATCAAGAAAATGTTCCACAGACAAGCCTACTGGCCAATCTGATGGAGGCGATTAATTTCTCAATTCCCTTTTCCTAAATGACTTTGGGTTTGTGTCAAGTAACCAACACAATACCTTTTTCAAAAAACCAAACCAAAAATCACTTCTAATAAACACTTATAGCAGATAATCAAGTCAAGAACAAATACATGTGATATATACAGTGCAGTAGTCTGCACTTGGAGTAGAAGATGAAGGGACAGAGTAAATGGAAATGCTATGTTGAGAATTTCCCATTAAAGATAAGGGAGAAGACGGTCCAGTCTGAAGCACAGTTCTGCACATATTTAGCCCGTAGAGTGTGGTTACTATAATTGGTCATGTCTGCTTGACTGATAAGGCTGGTTTCTGTGTATCACCCAAAGTGAGATGTTTGGCACTCATCTCCAAGGCAGCCAGTGACCTGGTTGATGGCATCATAAGCTGAGGGAAGCTGTGTTCCAGGTGAGTGTGTTTAGTGAGGTGCTTGAGAACGGAAGCAGCTGAGTCTTTCCTCTGACTGTAAACACTGGGGGAAAATAAAACTCTTACCCTGAAGTGTGAGCCAAAGGAAAGGAACAGAGGAAGAAGAGAGAGCAAACACTTGAGGGTGGCAGTCCTTCCGCGGACAGAGCAGTAAATGTGCTGGTTCCGTCCATAGCAGTCTGGGTAAGGAAAAGTTCATTTAAATCAAGAGTCTCAAGTTAATAGGAAGAGGAAGTTTTTGAGAACTCCCTTTCCTTTTAATTTATTACTAATAACTGAGAATTTGGAAGGCACTCATATGAAGTAATAAAACTTTTATTGTTAATGTAAACTATCATGAAATTTGTTTAAAAAGAGGGAAGAAATTTTGTAAACTTAGCCTACGTGAAATAAAATGTGAAGAATTTCTATACGTGGCTTAGTTTGCAAAGTTATACCATATTTCAAAGATAAAATTAGTAAAGATTATAAAATGACAGTATTTTAATTTTTCTGCCTGAATTTAGAGGACATATACAAAATTGAAAATTAATATGTTATATAACATATTAAAATGTGTTCAGTGAGATTTAAGGTAAAAATAACAGACCAAGAAAACATAAGTAATTTGCCTCAAGATATTTAATATAAATTTTCAAAAATTTATATTTTTAAATATTTTTGAGATAAAAGTTTGTATTTTATCAAATATATGGTGTTTAACTAATAATTAGCTGAGGATTTCATCTCGTGTTTCTTTTTTTTTTTGATGTTTTTTTCGAGACAGGGTTTCTCTGTGTAGTTTTGGTGTCTGTCCTAGATCTTGCTCTGTAAACCAGACTGGCCTCGAACTCACAAAGATTCGCCTGGCTCTGCTTCCCGAGTGCTGGGATAAAAGTCATGCGCCACCAGCACCCGGCTCACCGTGTTTCTTAGAAAGACTAGACTTTGCTTTAGATGATTTGTTTTGGGTTGCAGTAGTTCCTTTTAGGGCCGATGGCTCCGTGGAAAACTTACACATGATTTGCATGATTTGCTGTTTGATTCTCTCCGGCCCGCAGATCCAGAATGGTTCCTGGTTTCAATTAAGAATTCCTGTTCTAATTCCTTTGGGAAGTTTAAGTGTTTTATTTTTTTAATTTGTTTTATTATTTTGTGTGTCTGTGTATATGTCTGTATACCACGGGCATGCCTGATACCTGCAAAGACCAGAAGAGGGTGTTGGACCCTTTAGAACTGGAGTTTTAGTCAGTTGTGAACTTCCATGTGGGTGCTGGGAATTGAACCCAGTTTTGTCTGGAAGGGCAGCCAGTGCTCTTAACCTCTGGACCATCTCAGTCCATCTCAAGTTTTATTTTAAAGTTGAGATTTATCTCATTTGTAAACTGCCCAAGGTTTTGTTTCTAGACTTAATGCTCAAGAAAACATGCTTGAATTCTCTGCAGAAACTATTGTCTTCTGCTGGGTGGCAGTTTAAGTACCTTCTAAAGTCTTAACCAGTTAGAGTTTAGTCTTGTTTGCTCTGTAGTAATTAAACATGCCATTTAAAATTTATAAAAATTTAAAAATTCTTGCATTTAAATATATTTTTACACAACATGAAAGGTGTACTCATATTTTATAGAAAGAAAGAGTATGTTAATATTATGTATTTTGTATCCATTCAAAGTGCTTAGCTCTGGAAGTTTTCAGATTTCCTTTTTTCCCAGATTTTGGGGTGTTTACATACACATAAGGATATCATAGGGAGGGGACCCAAGTCTAAACCATTTCACTTTCACACATACTTTATATACCGGCCTAAAGTAGCTGTGTACAGTGTTTTTAGTGCACCTGAGCCTTGACTGCAACCTCTCATCTGTCGAGGCTGAGGTTTTCCATGTGTGGCATCTTAGCATACAAAAGCTTGGGTTTCACAGGGCTTTCGATTTGGCAGTGTTTGGGATTTAAGATTTTCAGATTAGGCATAGTAAACATCTATTTTCTAAGTATTTTTGAATAATGTCACTTAATAAGCTATCTATTATATTTGACTATTTGATATAGGGATGAAGATATGCAGAGCTTGGCTAGTCTGATGAGTATGAAGCAGGCTGACATTGGCAACTTAGATGATTTTGAAGAAGATAATGAAGATGAGGATGAGAACCGAGTGAACCAAGAGGAGAAGGCAGCAAAGATTACAGGTTGGCTTCACTGACATTGAACTAAATCTGACTTTCTAGTTTGTGACTTAAGTTTTCATTTCTTTTTTAACTCAAATGTGTGTAAGACAGTATGTTTTACATGTGCTTTGTGTGTATATTTCTACCTTGTTTACTTCTGGTCAATCAAATAAGATTCAGTGTCCCTTTGGTTTCAGTTTTCAAAAATCTTACTGTACTTTAAACAGATGATGTATTTTTGTTAATTTTCCAAAAATTAACCTATTTATGGTCTTATCCTTTTGTATAGAGGAGTTAAGTCCTAAAGTATTTGGTCCAAAAAAACCCAAAAACCAAAAACCAAACAAACAAAAAACCCCATGGTTTTATGACCTTATCATAATCAGCATCACTTTGCTCCATTTTATACTTCTTGCCTTGAAATCTTGTCCAATGTTGATATTTGTAAACTGTGTATCATTTGTTTGTCACATGTATTGTTTTATTTTTAGCTCATCTCTATTACTTTCAGTACATCTCTACTAGGTATCATTTGGTTAATCTAGCCTGATAATGTTTGCTTTTTAATAACTATTTGCAGGGCTGTGGCAGTGACTTAGTCAGGAAAATGCCTGCCACATAGCATAACGACCAGAGTTCAGTCCCCGGAAGCTCAGAGATCTGTAATCCCAGTGCTGGAGGGATGGAGAGGAGGGTCTGTGGGGCTCAGTGACCTCGCAAAATCAGTGGGCTCCAGGTTCAGTGAGAGAATTGAGAAAGATACCTAACTTTGGCTTTGGGCCCATACACACTTACACCACACTTGTACATGTACCCACCTGCCTATTCACATACCCAAGTGAACACACACACAGAATTTAAAAAGATTACTCTCCCAATAGCTGACTTAATTTCACTTCTGTTGGTGTATATATAAATATATATGTATGTGTGTATACTTTCAAAATATATATATATATATATATATATATTGAGATCTTTTCTTATTTTTCCCTCTATTTCCCTACATTTTGCCATTCTGATTTTTAATTTTTTACATTATTTTATGTGATGGGTGTTTTGCCTGCATATATGTCTGTACATCACATGCATGCCTGGTTTGATGGAAGCCAGAAAGGGTGTCAGAGTCCCTGGAACTAGAAATTAGAGATGGTTGTGAGTTGCTGTGTGGGTGCTGGGAATTGAACCCCTGTCCTCTTCAAGAGCAGCCAGCACTCTTAACTGCTGAGATATCTCTTCAGCCCCTGACAATTTTCTTTTAATTTAAGCATTTTTTGCTAGAGTAATTTGAATATTGTATGTCCTGTTTTCATTTTAGAATAATAGACTTTAAAATGAATAAACCAAACAGATAAATGAATGAACCTGTGGACCCTTACTAATATTAAAATTAAAACAGAATATGTTATCACTCCTCTTATCAGAAATGCAATATAGTTTTCTTTATCAGTCCCTTCCCTCTATCTCCTTTGGGCTATTATATTTATTTCAGTAGTATCTGTTTTTCCCCCAAATAATAAATGCTGGCATACAATTGCATTTTCTAATGATGGCAGCATCAGCACAATACTTTATTTTTATTGAAAATAAATTCTTTTCCCCAATATAGTATAGTCTGATTACAGTTTTTTATACCCAACTCCTCCATCCTCCTTACTTCCCCCTCCACCCAAATCCACACCTGCTCTTTCTCTCATCAGAGTATAAACAAGTATGTAAAATAGTAACTATAAAAAGTAAAATAAGATAAACACAAATCAAAACGGGACAAAACAGACATGGTGGGGAAAGAAGAGCCCAAGAACAAGCGTAAGAAACACATACAGATGCCGAGGCACACATTTGCACACAGCAATCCCATAAAAGACAAAATCAGAAACCATAACGTATAAGCAGAAGATCTGTAGTGGGAGGGTGAAGCTCACACAGAGCATTGTGAGATACAAACAATCTCCAAACTACCCTCGAGTTTGGTTTGTGTTGGCTCTCTATGCTGGGCCTGGGGCCTGCCCTTGGGTGTGGTTTGTATCCCAGTGAGACTCCATTGGAGAAAACTGATTGTTCCTTTGTGAGCAGTTATCAATTAGCGCTAGCTTCTGGGTTAGGGGGGCTTATGTCTCTTTCCCCTCTCAGCGCTCAGACCCCATCTGGCTGAGACTGGAGTAGGCCCTGTGCATGCTGTGCCTGAGTTCACTGAGCCACTGTCCCTGAGTTCATATGTATCAGTCCTGTCGTATCCACAAGGCCTTGCTTCCTTGATGTTTCCATCCCCCTGGCTCTTTCAATCCCCTCCCCTCCCTTCCGAAGAGTTCTCTGAGCCCTGAGAGGAGGAATTTGATGGAGACTTCCCATTTAGGACTGAGTGTTCCAAGGTCCTCTTATTAGAGAGAGAGACCTTGTACCCTTAACTGCTGAGCCATCTCTCCAGCCCCTGAGAATATTTTGAAATTTAAGCATTTTTGTATAGTAATTTGAAAATTGTTTAGTACAACTAGCACATCTCTAGTTGTGGATCTCTGTATTTGTTCCCACCTACCATAGGAGGAAGTTTCTCTGATAATGGCTAAGCAAGACACTGATCTATGAGTATAGCATAATGTTGGTAGGAGTCATTTTATTGCTATGTTCCTTTAGCAAAAGAACAGTATTTGGTTTGCTTCTGAGTCCGTGGCCTATCTTCTCTCATGTTCTTGACCACCAAGGTAGTGTCAGGCATGGGTTCTAGCTCATGGAGTGGAACTTAATTCCAATTAGATAGTGGCTGGGGGATGCTTTACAACCTGATAAACTTCTATCATGAATATGTACTAAACCTTTATTATCCGTTCATCAGTTGACTGATTGCATGTCCTAGCTGTTGAATAGAGCAGCAAGTATGAGCAAGTGTTGCTGCAGTGACATCCTTTGGCTGCTGGTCCAGCAGTGGTGTAGCAGTTGTCATATGGTCACTCTACTTTAGCTCCTCCACAGTGGTTGCCAGTTTACACTCCCACCAGCAGTAAGTGTTCGCCCTCCTCCACCTCCTCACCAGCATTGGTTATCATTGTTTTCTTGATGACAGTCTTTCTCACTGGGGTTGGATGTAGTTTTAGTTTGCATTTCCCTAGAAACTTTTAAAAAGTACTTACTAGCCATTTGGATCTCGTCTTTTGAGGACTCTGCCAATATATAGTCCATTTTTCCACTGGGTTGTCTGGTTTATGTAGCTGGAGTTTTCCTGCCTGGCCCACAGTCAGGACAAATCTCTCTCACCCGCCAGTCCCACAGCCACTCAGACCCAACCAAGTAAACACAGAGACTTATATATTGCTTACAAACTGTATGGCCATGGCAGGCTTCTTGCTAACTGTTCTTACAGCTTAAATTGATCCATTTCTATTAATCTATACCTTGCCACGTGGCCCGTGGCTTACCGGCATCTTCACATGCTGTTTCTCATCATGGCGGCTGGCAGTGTCTCTCTGACTCAGCCTTCCACTTCCCAGCTTTATTCTCCTCCTTGTCCCACCTACACTTCCTGCCTAGCCAATGGCCAATCAGTGATTTATTTATTGACCAATCAGCAACACACTTGACATACAGACCATCCCACAGCAGGTTTATGTTTACTTCTTTTTGTAGACTGTATTCTAGACATGAATCCTGTCACATGTATAGCTGGTGAAGATCCTGTAGGTTGCCATTTCACTTGAGTGACTTTGCTTTGCTGTACAGAAAGCTTTTGAATTTTACAAGGTTTAATTTGTCAGTTCTTGGCTTTATTCTCTGAGCAAGTGAAATCCGATTCTGAAAGTCCTCACTTTAACTAGATCTTGGATTGTTTTCTCTACCATTTCCTCTAACAGCTTCTGAGTGTCAGACCTTACATTTAGGCCTTTGATCTGTTTGGAGTTGGTTTTTGTAATGGGTGAGAGATAGGCATCTAGTTCCATTCTTCTGCATGTGGATATTTCCTTTTCCCAACACCATATAGGATTAAAGAGGCTGTTTTTATCCAGTGTGGTTTTCAGAATCTTTGGTAAAAACCAGGTAGCTATACATATTTGGGTTTATACCTGGATCTTAATTATATTCTATTGATCTTCACATCTGCTTCTGTGACAGTGCCATACCACCACCACCGCCACCACCACCACCACCACCACCACCACCACCATCATTATTATGGCTCTGTAGTAATAAATTTTGAAATAAAAGTTTTTTTTTAAATAATTTGAAAATCTGGTATGTTATACTTCTGGTGTTATTGTTCAGAATTGTTTTGACTATCAAAAGCTTTTCATGCTTACATATTAATTTTTTATTATTTAGTGTGTGTGTATGGGTGTGTCCATGTGCACTTTCCACAGCATGCTTGTGGAGGTCAGCGGAAAAGTTGTGGAAGCTGGTTTTCTCTCCACTCCTATGTTGGTCCCAGTGATTGAACTCAGGTTGTCAGGCTTGCTCGCAGCTGCTCTCTACTGAGCAATCCCTCTTGTCTCCCATAGAAATTGTAAGATTTCCATGAAAGAATGGTTGTAGAATTTTGGTAAATATTGCAGTGAATCATTAGATTGCTTTTGGTGGGAACAATCATATTTCACAATACTAATTTTTCCAGTCATGAGCATAGGAGACCATTCCATCTTCTGGTATCATCCTCAATTTTCTTCTTCAGTGTTTCAAATTTTGGTTGTAAAGGGTCTTTCTCTTTCTTGATTAGGTTTATGCCAAGGCTTTTTTTTCTTTTTTTTTTTTTTAAGGTTGTGGATGGGTTTGCTTCCCTGATTTCTTTCTTAATGCTTTTATTATTGGAATATGGTAGGGCCACTGATTTTTGTATGTTATTTTTGGGTGTTGGAGAGATAGGTTGACTGCTTTTATAGAGGAGCCCGTTTTGATTCTCAGCACCTACTTGGTGGCTCACAACCACCTGTGACTCCAATCCCAGGGATCGAACTCTTTCCTCTGGCTTCCATTGGCATCAGGCACACACATGGTACCCGACATGTAGGCAAAACACCGACACATACAAAATAAGT